CTGGACGAAATGCAGGAGTATAACACGTCCACCTCATACCAGACTTCTGTGAGGTCGTGGTACTTTATTTTTTTTATGTGAAAGGTTGCCAAGCGAGTAGACGGTTCACCTGATGTTAAGTGAATACCGCTGCCCATGGACATCTGCTACACCCGAGGGTTACAGATATGTTGACAACCTTTTGAAAATTGGGCTACGGCCACCTCACTCACCAGACAAGACGCGAAAGTGTAATACTTCCACCTTACGCCGGTCTTCTGTGAGGTCATGGTAATTACCCGGACGAGCCTGCCCATTCGCGCAACAGTCGAGGCTGCTGCGTGGCCCTACCACAGTATAAATATATTTCCGCATATTCGTGTGGTTACAGGGAAAATTTATTCGACAAATTATGATTATTTTTTACAAAATTAACGAAGAAATAAATATGCGTCAATTGCTACGTTGATGTGTTTAAGTAGTATTAATCGTTTAAAAGATTCAATCGATATAACAATTGAAAACTTTACAGGCTGTTCGATTTGTCTCGATGTGTACATTGAAGAACGAGTACAATATCTACATATTCTCCATGAAACCAGAATAACGAGCCCAAGGCGGAATAACTTTTGCGGATATTTCCCCCGTAATAGCGTTCGCTTTGCATACCAGTGTTCACAGTGCTTAAAAGCCCATCAAGTGTGGATACGACTAAGCTAGGGTAGCTCTCCAACGTATGTTACGTACATGCGAACTGAAAACTTTAAGGTATTGGTAATGGCTATTATATAGAATGGTATTGTGTCAAAAATGAATTTTTTAGAAATTTAATTGTTTATAGCTAATCTTTGAACTTAAGATTGAACATTAAAATATGTAGAAAAAGTGCGAAAAGATTGTCGCCGTTGTGGAATCGAACCCACGTCGTCGGCATTCGCGGCCTGACGCTCTAGCCACTGAGCTAAACGGCTGATTGCCACACCGACGAAAATCTTTAACGCATTCTTCCACATTGTTTTCTTAGCATTTGAAGCAATGCTTGGCGCCATCTATTGTTATATCCTTTCCAGCATACAAACAATTTCGAATATCGTTTTACAACGATAATTCGAACGAAAGATGTCGCCATTGCTTTTTTTAGAAATTTAAATTGTTTATAGTGCTAATCTTTGCACTTAAGATTGAACATTAATATATGTAGAAAAATGAAACTTTTACCTTTAAATACGGATAAAATTTATACAGATAATTTTATATAAATTATATTACAGATAAATTGATATAAAAACCCGACATTCCTTTAAATAAAATAAAATAATATTCTTAACTTTTTTTAAATCGTTAATCGCCAATTTTGGATTAACATTGATTTTTGTTCTACTTATCATGTTATATAAAAAATTTGTCGTACATAAATATTCTATAACCGATCTTCACCATACAGTTTTTATGTTAAATTGGCAAATAAAATCGTGCATATACAGTAATACAGTTATAAAATGGTATAAACTCGTTTGTACTTTCTTCACGTAAAACTGCTCTTTTTATTATTGGTATAAACAATAATCGCGATTACATGGATCGAATTATTGTTCATCTTTTTCAATTTTATTATGAACGAATATAATATTGTAATACATACATACATAATTTATTTTTGAAGTTATTGTTCTATTTGCGCGTTTGAAAAAATCATGAGTGTAAGATTTTTACGATGTGCGCTTTCATCGATTTCAAAAACCGACACAATGAAGTTAATTGCAATTGCAAAGCGACCAAGTTCACGGAATTGCCACAACAACTAATAACAAACTTTTTGTTTAATAAAAACCTTATCAATAATATTGTATTTAATGTTATTTGCAATAAATATTGCATTTTAATGTTTTTTTTTTTCAAAATGAAGAGTACCTGGGGATACATTTTTTAGTTACTTTTCTTATTTTACGCTAAAGAATTATAACTTCTCACTTACTTAAGTTATACTTCTTATGTGAAAAGTTGTCAACCACGTGTGACAGAATTTATTAAAGACAAAAATGATTTTCAAAATCAATTTTGTCCCTCTGACTTTAATGCCTCTGAGCCCTGAAGCATGGCAAACGTGCTCTCTTTCAAATTTATCGTATTGCATCTGAATGAAATTTATGTATAAACTGTGGTTCTAAATCTTAACTAGGATTGATGTCTTTGAAAAATAACTAAGTTTTTCGATTAGGCTTTGTTTGATCGAAATAATTAAAACAATTAAGTTTCATCAGTTGGTGTCGTATTGTCCATGATTTGGACAGAACTGATAGTAAGAAACTTATTATACCTGATAGTTCTAACCATCCGTACTTACTATATATATTCCTTACTTACATACAATACATAATGTAAGTAGTACAAGTACAGGTAGTATATCTAATATAACGGAAACTTTTTTAACTGTCATAAGCGGGGGGGGAACATACGAAACGAACAATAAATACGCAATATTTATGATTATAACAAAGACAAACCAATTTTACCGCCAAAATAGAAAATCGTAAACAATTAACTATTAAAAAAGTATTAAGTTAACAAAAAAAAAGTATGTCGACTTAAAGGACTTTGAATATATTTGCTAAATTATCAATTTGCATCAAGAAAATGATAATTTAATTTTCAAAGTGGAAATACAAATTGTCCGAGAAAACAATTCATTCTCATTGCAATTAGCTTCACATTAGATAAAGCTGTTATAGATATTGGGGAAAGGGAAAGATTTACTGGGCTTGAATACGTCGCATTTTCAAGAGTAAAAATACTGGAAGGAATAACATTATATAGACGATTTCCCTTTGATGGATTAAATAATATTAAAAATTTATATCAGTTAAAATGTAGGAAGCAGAAAGAAATCCGTATGGAGAAACCTAATGTGACAGAATTAATATAAGTACGAAACAATGTTTGATAAAATAAAAAATATCCGCAAAATGATTGGTCGTATTTATTATTTATTTCGGTATATATGATATTGGTCGAAGCTCAGATCGAAAATAATAATTGTATAAATTATTACCCATTAGAAAAACGCGAGCCCTCAAAAAAAACTGAGATTATTGCTAGTTTTAAATAAATTGATGCATGTATATTAAACTGTTTTATTAAAACTTGTTGGTTTGCTAAAATTACGAACTTTTTTTAAAAGTTTATTGTCCCAAAATTAATTATATTAAGATTAAATTTGTTTTTTAGGTTTTTTGTAACTCATCATCAAAATATCTAGAGGATTGATAAATTTTTTCGACCCTAAGGCCAGGCATTGCTAAAATTACGATGGCTCCGTGGCGCAGTTGTCAAGGTATTGGCTTCGGCCGTCGGCGTCGGGGTCGTGGGTTCGATCCCCGCACGGGACAACTATTTGTGTGACCCACAATATAGTTGTTTCGTATCTGGGTGTTTGTCCGCGTGAAATTTATGTTTGTAAAACGTCCTTACAACACAGGATAATGTTATCCTAAAGTAAGGGCAATGTTTTTTAAAACAAAAAAAAAATTGCATAGTAATCATGATTGCTCTTGATACTTAACCCATTAGAAATTTTTCAATACCTACGTTCGGTCGTTTCGACTTCGTGTGAACAAAACTTTGCTTGTTATTGAAAACTAATATCGGCTTCCTGTTCAAGTGAACTTCAAGTTTTCCACGTTTACTAAAACTATGAAATATGATGAGATTCAACTCTTATAATTTTCAGTATTATTCATTAACTGTAATTGAACAAGAGTTCATTACGAAATGCTTCCCATATACTGACACTATATAATACATTTCTCTCTATATTGTCTTAATAATAGTGAAAATGAAAAACTAAATCACTGTTGAATAATTAACACAATCTATATAATTACATCATTATCCTTAAAGGCAAATTTTTTTTTGTTAAAAAAATCTTTTGAAAATCCTATTTTTTAACTTAAATTAGGATTTGCGAGTGAAAGATTAAATAGTAAAACTTATTACTTTACTAGCACTTTGGTTAGCTGGAAATAATGCTACTCAAGTCAAAATTTTGTTGGTTAAGTGTATAATATATTATACTTTAAAACTCTTAGTAAATGTAGTGATTTTTGCTATACGTGATTTTAGGCCAAACTCATTTCGGAACTTAATTAGACTAAAAAAAGATTATTAATTATGGTGCATGGTCCACTCCACTTGATGTGTTCTTGAGAAATACGGTAGAAGTACCTATAATCAATTTGTTTTCCCATATATCGTTTAGAAAAATTACTATTGTGTTGTATTAAACATTGGCATTGAAATGTTTAAATGAACACACAGTGGCTTCATTACAATACTAAACTATGTGATTTTTTTTCGCCGCTTGTTCAAATCAAATATGGCGTGAGTTAGTAATAATGTAAAAGTGTTTTATTGAGTTATGTTAACGCAGTAATAACATCAAAATCAGATTGTATATTTCTGAAAGAAGTAACATTATAGTTATCATCTTCGTTTCTATATTACAATTGTTTTTCACATTATTGAGGTTACTGACTTTGATATTGCATAATTAACGACACACATGGCTACTAGCTACGACTACTAACCTCCAATTAAATCGAGTATAATAACACGTATAATATAATTTAGAAAACTAAAATCCGACTGCGTTTCTATGTATTTTTTTATTTTGATATACCCAGTGTCACACTCACAGTAAATTCGAATCTAACGACACCTCTCAAGCTAAAATCCATCGAGCGTTTCAGGCTGCAGTGCGTGCCAAACAATTATACATACATACATACATGCTCTCGAAAAACATATCCCTCCTTCTGGCGCAGTCGGGTAAAATAAAGAAATTATCCCCGCATCATGTGCGAAGATAGGAAGGGAGCGAGTTTAGGGAGCAACTGCTCCCGTTTCATTTTGGTGTGTACACCAACTTAAGAGCGGATCAGTTCCTGTCGGAATGGCTTGCGCGGGACATTGTGGTATTTTTATTCGGAGGGATTTATATCCAGAGGGTTTTGGAATACATTGCCATGTGCCTGGTATGCTACTATATCGAGTTTGTTGCGTCAACGCCAGGGCTTCAAAAACAACTCGGCCCTGAAAAAGCACATGAACTACGTCCACGAGAAGAAGCGGCCGCCGCGGAACAAGATCTGCGATCACTGCGGGCGCGGTTTCACAGTGAGTTTTCACATTCTTACCAGCGCCAAGTTCAGAGCCGTGATAGCTCAGCGTCCGGGCGCTCGCCTTTGATTCAATACACTCGAGCAACCCGAGTTCGATCCCCGGTGCCGGCACCGATGGAATTGTTAATTTCAAGTGCTGAATTATCACGTGCTCAACGTTGAAGGAAAACATAGTGAGGAAACCTGCATATAAAATTTTTTCGCAGATATGCGAAGTCCGCCAATCCGCAGTGGGGCCGCGTGGTGGACTATGCCCTGATACCTTCTATACAGAGGAGGCCTTTGCCCAGTAGTGGGACATGTATAGGCTTATACTTTACTTTATCAACGCCAAGTTTAACGCCCATCACGCTATAAGGCATGATACTTTTTCCAAGATAGGAGGCGGCAAACAAGCGGGCCCTTTCACCCGTTTAAGGAAAATCGCAACATCCGCGATGCTGCGATTACGTCGCCAACCTTTAAGTTCTAGGGTTGTCAACTGAGAAAAATAAAGTATCACATTTTTCAAGTAAAGCATAAAGATAAAATATTCTTGGGATAAAAACGTTTTTGTTAAATCATATAATTATTATTAACAGCAAAAGCTTCCAAGTTGAAAGTGTTCTGTTTCAACTTAGAACTATCAATAAAATTTCAGTAATTATGCATATACATACATTGTTAGTGTTTTATTTTATGCATCACAGTAAAGATTGAAAATAGAGTATTTCCACATACTTTATTTTTATGCAAAAGTATAAAGTATATTTACCAAAAATGAAGTAGGATGCGTTATTATAAAGTGTTGTTGGCAACCCTACACAGTTCCCTTGGTCGCGAGACGAGACGCACAAGCATAAAACACTTTCCCACACGACGGCATAAGCCGCACTTAACGTATCTCCGCGCTTTAAGTACTCGTTTGGTGACTTTTATTTCATTCAACAAATCCGCAATTACTCAGTTGCGTACCCAGTAGAGGGCGGGACCGTCCCTTTTAAGGAGACGCGTACATCTAGACAGTTTTGCCAGACTCTGACGATCCTCCGTTCGCACGTGCGCACGCACACCGGCGAGCGGCCGCTGCTATGCTCGCACTGCCCCGCCACCTTTGCCCATCCGGCCGCCCTCTACACCCACACGAAACTCCTCCACGGCACCGGCTAGCGGGTAGAGAGAAGAGCAAAACAACCACGAGGCAAAGGTTTGTGCGAGCGTTCACGTTTCTTACGATGGGACGCTCAAGAGAAAAAAAAGTTTCGGAACATTACTTTACACAACACTGTCCAGTCCCAAACTTAGCGAAGCTCGTACTAGAAAACTGATGAACACACTTGATTGTACGATTCTTTTGTAAATAAATACACATTATAGATATGTAACACCCGGACTAGAAAAACTATGTTCATCACACAAAATTTATCCAGTTGTGGGGATCGAACCCACACCGTGTGATGCAAGCGACAGGACCACTATCAACTATGCCCACTGGGTCTTCAAAGAAAGTGAATGAAGTTACCGTTATAGGCTGGAAGACTTAACTGGACAATTTGTGTGAAAGCTGGTGGTGTGCCAACATTGAAGCCGGTCCAAAACGAAAAATCACGAAATTACGTTTAGCAAACAGCTGTGCCGACACGTTACAACTACCACACAAAAAAATTAGGCAATAGCAAGCGCCCACTTTGTTTTTCTAACTATATCTTAAACAACAGTTAACAAACTGTGTACTTGCTAAGCAAGCTTAGATTATTGAGGGAGGTTTCAAGTTCTCCCTTTTCCCTGCTTAGTTTTAAGATTGAAAAAAGACTGTGAGGTAAATTATAAACGTGTTAATAAATTTTTTGATGTTTTATTTTATCACTTTTTCATATACCACAGACATTTAGCTCGTTTTCAACCCAAACGGAATCTGAAGAGTGATTATTTTATTCATAAACTGCTTCACTCAACAAATTCGTCACTTTGATACCTTGGGGGAGCGGTGAAGCCCTTGTTTGTAATGCTACTTGAGTAGACACTGGCTGCCTTTCATCTAAAGGGTATTTCGGTCAGGACCGGGCCGGATATCGGAGGCAGCTGGTGTAAGTAAATGGCGCAAATATGAGTCTCTATGTTTAGATTATGTATTTGTGCCTTGCTGTTGAAACTTTGGGTCCGTGGGGTCCCATATCAAATTTTTTTTAAGGTTTATGTCGTAGCTTTAACGCCGCGGCTGGTGCCAAGAGAGCTGGTTCTTTTCTCGCTCAAAGCTTTAACCATAACTCAGCGAGGAAATGCGGCTAGCGTTCTTGGCACCTTGCTGCGTGGATTAGGGTTATTATATAATATGTAATTTTAGATAAATATTTCTTTGAACCTAACACAAATATTTATTTCTCAAAAAAGAATATTACAATATTCACTTAACTATGAGAAAATTTTACATAGTACATGTTAAATAACAATTTAAAAAGTGTGGATAATCGGAGTTGTTGCTTAACTTGCCATTAAAAACATTTTTAATTTTTTTTTGAAACTCGTTAAAGAGGAACAATTTTTGACACGGGGTGGTAACTTATTATATAGCTGAGCTCCTTCAAACTGTATATTTCTTTTTCCATACAAAGTCCTGATTTTAGGTAGTTCTAAGTTATGTTTATGTCGTGTGTATTTGTGTTTTTTTATTAAATATAATTTATGTCTTTATATGATTTGTTAATATTTTTCTGATAAGTATGCATGTAGCATAAAATGTATAATGTTGTATATTAAATATTTTCGTTTTATTATATATGTATTTAGTAGATGTTAGAGAACTATAGTTGAACTACAGTTGTATAATTTAATGTTGTAAATATATGATTAATAGGAAAAAAATAATCAGTTGCTAACACCGGTATGTCAATTTACATTTGCTCAATAAGGGGAGGTAAGACCATTTTGCTTGTGAATCAATTACTGTGTTCTTTCAGTTTTGTCGTTAGAGTCGGGCATTCTGGGATGTATATATGACATGTGCAACACAACGTCGTGTCGGCGCTAAAACTCAGATGCCCATCTAAGGCCACATGGAGTCTACCCTCTTCATCATGAGGAATAAATTTTTTATAGGCTTCTTTCGACCGACTTCAAAAATGGAGGAGATTCTCAAATTGGCTGTATTTTTTGGTTTTTTTTTTTAATGTTTGTTACCTCAGAACTTTCTGCTGGGTGAACCGATATTGATGATTCTTTTTTTTTATTTGAAAGCTGGTGCTTCCCACGTGTTCTCATATTAATTTCATTGGTAATGGATCTTGGGCTCCGCAGATACTTGGGGAACTCGTGAAAATCAATTACAAAATGAATACCGGAGCGGAGTTTGAAGTCGGTTTTGTTTTTCGTTAATAAAAATATGGACTTGTTTTAGATTTTAAAACAGATCAATATGTCAAGGTATCAAATCAAGGAAATAATCTGGTTGGGGTAGTTATTAGAAATCACAACCAGGAAATAAAAATCCTAATGAAACAAAACTCTCTTTCTTCAATCCTTTGCTGTTGTTTTGTGCGTTTCTTTTTTTGTTTTCTTCACCTAAACGATTTAACTTTTGTACTGTAGCAATCCGCCGAATTAATTGTTTCGCCTTTTACCAGTTAGTCTACCACGATGACTCGTGGTATCCCAAAAGATTGTGCCATCACCTTCTCAGCTGACATAATTACTTATTATCTAAAGCTTGGGTTGTATTTTTGATTTAGGATATTCATAACAATAAATAACAAATCTGATATTACAATATTTGCAGACCATCAATCAATCAGCTGAATTAGTTTTTGTTCGAATGAAAGCAATCTTGAGACCCACCGAGTGGAAAACCTTAGAGAATCCAAGTTCATTGGCTATGATGTTTTACTTTCGTTCATTGGTGAAGCGTACAGTATAAGCAATCTTCTGGATAATCAGTTGTCGGTCTATCGACTGGGCACACTGCCTCTGTTTACTTCAGTCATAGATTTCGAGGCCGCCAATGAAGGTGATCGCCTTGTGATTCTCTCTCGTCCACGTTTTTTAATTTTAACATTTTAAAGTGAAATAAAGGGTAGCTAATATTATTTTCATGTCATCGCAGATCTTCTTAGACGTTTTTAACAAAAACTCGATGACTGCATATTGTTTACTCCATTTTATAAAATGATATCATCGACCTACATCGGTACAAAATGTTTCGTGACAAATGTTAGCACTTGGACCAAAATGAACGAACAATTCCTCTAATAAATTCATTTCAGATATACCTGAATATTATAATTTGCAGGAGTGCAGATGTGTTTTGTCTTACTTGCATTATTATCCATAGTAAAAAAAATTTTTGCAATTAGTCTTAAACTTTATCCAGCGGTTCTACTTGTCTGTTAGTTGCAGTAGCAGTTTTCGAAGTATACCTTCAGGTCACACCCTTCCCTTCGTAATAATTGCCCCCTTATGTATGATAACATAATCCTGTTTTTGTAAGGACGTTTTACCTACATGAATTTCAGATAGACAAACACCCATATCCGAAACAATTATCTGTGAGTCTTCAAAATACTTTTTCCGTGTAGGAAACCAAGCTACGGCGCCGAAAACAATACCATTGTGAAATGAGAGAAAACATTTAATGAATATAAGGTTTTAATAAGCTAAAATTTACAGTAAAATTAGTTTGGTTACAAAACATACATTGACAAAGACATTAACAAAACAGATTGACAATGACATAAGCTTATGGCTGCTAGTTTCAAGTAAGAAGTTTATATCATGCAATTGCGTGACGGAGTCATCTATACTCGATACTTTGGACAGTCAGAGGGAGAGATTTTTTTATTTGCTGCAAGCCTTCAATTTTCGTAAAGTAATTTTACGTTTGTTCACGTGTAACTGCGTGAGTTCAGTAATCTCGCAAGGTACAATGCAAAGATTTGGCAAATTTTGCCGTTCATCAACATAGCAAGTTTTATAAAAAGTTGATCCATTGCTTTCGTCACGGATGTCAGTCACTTTAGATCCCCTTTGTGTCTTCCTAGACGAATATTTTTATAAAACTGAATTCTGTCGAATTTTTTGAATTACGATAAAATCTCAAACAGAGACTCCCAGGCGTTAAATTTGTCAATTAAATAATGTAAATCGCAAGATTGCGTGTCAATTACAAATAGCTTTAAACTATTTAGCCAATTGTAACAAAAACCTTCACCATCGTCTTTCAGTTTTAGCACATAAGTACAATAATTCGTAGAAGATAAAAGCAAATGAAAATACTTGTTATTTGTTTTCGACGCCATATGTCACTTATTAGCAGCATAACAAAATGGCGATTGTTACATTTCAAGGTGTGTTCATGTTGCAACAGCAGAGAGAAATAGATAACATTAATGGACTTTTAATTGGTATAAAAGATGTGAAGATATTAAATTATTCCTAACCATGTGTTTGTGAATTTGTGTTAGGTCTGCTTCCGTTTATTAGCCTGTGGATTTTAAATTTTTGCATTAAACCTTAGAAACCTTGGTGCATTGTTTATATGTTGCGTAAAGAATTCTAATAGAAAGAATAAAGATTGATGCTTAAGATTCAAGTAATTTTGTTTATGAGTCTCTAATAGTCACAATACTAGTCGTATTGTGATATACCTAGCGTTATCTCTCAATTTCAACATCAATTTTATGTTATCTGTAAATCAAGGTGTTTGCCGCGTTTTAAATTACTTTTTATTTGTGCATATAACCCAAACAACTGTATGAAATAGGGGAGAGGTGGCCTAATGGGGACGTTAAGGAAAATACTCAGTTAAATAAAATCAATGCAATGTATTTATTAAAACTAATCACAACACTGGTTATTAAATTATCATTTGTCATATAATTTGGTGATGTAAATAATCATATGTCGTTATCATTTAAATTTTTTGAAAGTATAATGGAAACCCCATCGTGTCCCATACTGCCCCTACGGCTGTATGGGGTACGTAGTTATTTTGCGTCACAGTACAAGCAGATGTGGATTTCTTCTGTATTGTCGTCTACACCAGCACAAGCTGTATGACCCCACCGACTACATAGTTGGCAAGCCACCCAACATTCCGAAGACTTTAAATAAGTGTGGTTCAAGGCAGTTCAGGCACATGGTATCCTCGTCGGTATTCTTTACACCAGAGGGAGCTTTTTGGGTCTTCTGTTTCTTAGAGTTCTTCTTTAACTTGGAATCATTTGGATTAGAAGACTTCTTCGTTATCTTAAGTTGTTCTCGTTCTTCTAACTCAATTTCGTAGTGGGTTGAATTGAGAACGACAGTTTTCCCTCGGCGATAGATTTTTCTCGTCTCGTTGGTTTCTTTGTTCGACTGCCGGGATAGCGAGAATTACTTTCGTAAATTTCTTTCTTTTGTTGAAACCACTGGTATTTTTGAAAGAACCCTCGATGGATTGCAACGTAATATTCCAGAATCTGAGAACGCATAAAATATATTGGAGTTTATGCTCATATTGATTTTTGTCATTAGCTTATGCAACAACAGTGGAAAATCACATTTTTATACTCAAGCAAAATTTCTCGC